CGTTAGAGTGCTGCCAACTTGTGTTTCCCTGTGATTGCGAGCAGACGAGTACTGTACATTGATGTACATTACAGGGAGGGTATCTTCTCATCTTCTGCACTCTTCCCTCTTCTTTGTACTTTTGAATCCTCCCCTCAAAACCGGGATTATCTAAATTGTTCTATAAACTCTGGATTTCGAGATCTTTGGAAGAGGAACAACGCAAGAGGAGTCAGGTGAGAAAAGAGTGATAAAGACACTATTTTTATCCATTTTTTGACAGTTGTTATCCTAACCCTGCTGCACCTGACCAGTTTCAATCTATTCAACCGCAAAAAAGTCACACAGGCTCAAGGAGAGACTTAGATATTTCAAAGCGTATCATAATTCAACACTAGAATGGCGATATTTACATGAAAATTTATGGATGCTGTAAATAAAACTCTGTGGCAGAATATGAAAGCGATAAAAGAGTGACACTGTACCACATAACCGTGGCATGGGATATATTTAACATCCATCTGGGCACAGAGTGTGTTTGGGAAGAGCAGAACCTTAAAATAAAAACCTCAGAGGGTGACTGGATGAACTGTCTGTCACATTCGTTATGGGCCAACCAGAGCAACAAACACATGAAGGAGTTGGTGTGTTCTACCGCTGAAGAGTAAACCTGGATAAACACGAGCGTGACGGGTACTAATCCTAAACGTGAGCGGTTAGTTCAGCTACATTTCAGTGGAGAGACGATTGTTTACCGTGGAATAATACGACTCAGTAGTTTTTTCACTTTGCATCTGTATGTGACATAAACCTGAACAACAAAACCCGCTAAGTTTTCTCACAGTACACCCTGGAGAGTGTGAGTTTCGCCACATTTGATAAAACTGCTGCTACAGCTAATCTCCTCATAGACTGTCATTCTATACAGACCTGTCACAGCTTAACAGGCTCAGAGGCTACCATCTCTAACAGCAAGGTTCATAAAAGTGAATCTGTCCTCAAAAATGTAGCCCCTTTTACATTGTTAGTTTAGAGCGATGATGGCTTTCAAAATCATAAAATCACAAAATCATGGAAGCAGGTTTACATGTAGTTTAAAAAACTGATTTATCGCTTTAGTCTGACAGAAACTAGACCTTTAAAAACCATGTAGACACATTAGTCCGACTGAAATCACACTACATTCAACTTCTTTTAACCACAGTAACGTACATGGATAATGAGACAGGGGTCAATTTTGCTGTCAGTTCATCTGTCATTGAAATAAAGTGCAATTGTCACTTATGGTGAAGCTGGGTTTCACGATGTGATTTGGGGAGTTGTAGAAATCATGACTTGTCTTTCATGGGAAAGTTGGACTTTATCAGACAAAAACTATTTCACAAGTGAAGGAGAGAGAAGTTTGGTGGTTGTAAAAAACTGTAAAAAACATTTTCCAGCTAAAACCATACACTGTGTAAAGAATCGACGCTGTCTGCCTCCTCTGTCTGCCTCCTCTGTCTGCCTCCTCACCACGAGAACAGCACCCTCTGGTGACGGGCTACAGTATAGGTCATATATCCTGCCTCCTCCAGCAATCCCAATGGAGCTGTAGCCAACCGAAAAAATAATTACACAAAATATACATTTTTCTCCCCCCTGGTTGCAATATTGACATGTAGTTACTGTAAGACTGGTTTGTGCTCAAGTCCTCTTTTTTCTGTACAGCTCCATTTTTAAAAGTCATTAGGGGGTTCATGTTTTCTATGATTGACACCTGATACAGCTAATGGGCGTACAAAGATTGCATCACTCACCGGGGGATACGCTGGTTGAGCAGAGCGTCATCACAGCGACTGGGAATTCGTACAATGCTACCGCGCAAGTGGTGGTTCCAGGATGTGGAGAAAACCCTGGAAATACTGAGAGAGATTCGGCTTCAAATTTGTACAATGATGGAAGGCGGAGCAAAGTTTTCCTGAGTATATACAGTCTATGGCCAAAATTAAGTGGTAATAATTCTACTCAAACTCATAACCCTTCCCAAAAATAGGCGGGCCTTGTCCTCCATTAAGATTTTGTGTTATTTTCTTCCAGCTAATGACACATGACACATACTGTGGTATGAAATTCTTCTTCCTAGGAGACTTTAGTGATGAGAAGTCACCAATGACTGATCGAGTCTCGAGTAGGAGGGTTTTGCACAGAACATGGATTTCAGCTCTACTTTTCATCGATATGAAAATGATCTTTTTTTTTTTCTACCCTGTATGATGACCAACACTTTCTGTATGTATTGGCATGCTTTAATCTAGACTTAATGATAGGACCACACACACACACACACACACAGCTTGCATGGACAGTTGGTGCAGAGTCCACGGCACACCTGTACCTCTAAACCTCCCCCGGTGCGGTCAAACCCTGTGTACTCCATGTGTGTGTTGATAGACACTCCATGTCAGCGCCTGTGCCCTGGGTCAGCGTACGCCTTCCCTCTCTCACTCACCACACAGCCATGCGACTGTCTGCAGCCGCACAAAGCAACGGAGTAATGAGTCCCATGACAGACCGGCGGAATAGGCTCTGAATAGGTAATGATGGAGTCTGAAGGTGTTGGAGAGCCTGGCTGTGTCTGATCGGAGGTTATAATGTAGTCTTGGAGCATTCTTGCCTCTGCTTGTCAGTGAGAGTCACACTGGCACAATACCTGCTATTTAAAATTTATTGTGTAACGCAGCATGCCTGTGCTGGAATTGTGTTTCCTGCTGCCCACTGAATCAAATTCTGATCCCTGTCCCTGGCCAATAGCCTATATATGTATGTACTGCTTCCTACATATGTATACTACTCATGCTGCTGGGCTCATAATTGGAAGTTGTACTGCAAGACAGAGAAACACCATGAAGCCAGACAGCCAGTGACTGACTGACTGACTGACTGACTGACTGACTGACTGGACTGAGGGACCTTTGCGTCTCAGCTGGCGGCTCCTGTGTTACATTCAAACGACATCCCTTAATGCGTTTCTTTGCTCTGCTAAGTGTGTTCATGTGCATGTTGGTGACACGTGCCTCTCTGTCCACGTCTGTATGCTCTTCTAATCACACTCATGTATTTATGTATTTATGCTCGGAGTGAGGCTGCCTCATCGTGCCGAAGGCGTAATTAAAGCCCGAGAGTCGGAGCAGAGGAAAGTTCTGGGAGGTGAATCTGGAACAACAGCACCTGGCAGACACTGATAGACAGGAGTGGACAGTCATCTCGGTACCTCACAGCTCCAGGGGGGGAATGGACCTATTATGCTCTATTCCTCCATTTCATCTGCAGCACTAGACAGAAAGATAGGCCTGCTATTCCAATTTATGGCTTAACTCATCATCATCTTTCCTCCATCTCCTTTTACTGCCCTTGAGATTTCACCCTTGTCATCCGACTGGTAATCAGAGTTTGGTGAGTTACATTTATTACTGTACGATCATACAGCCGTGATTAGCTGCTCAGTTACACTTTGAACTGGCTCTCTTTTTTTTCTTGCTACCATTGAATTACTTTGCCTAAACATGTCTGAGCAATTTCTGCTCTTATTGATTGAAGTGAGAGTAACACTGTACATCATTACGGCATGATAAGTCCTAAAAGTGTCACCTTGGTGGCATGTTATGACAGGCGGATTGGAGGGAAAACACAATTATTGGAGAGGCAATTCTGCTCAGCTAACCTGTTTGGTGTGGATGTGTTAGCTGAGGCACAAGGTTCAACACTTGCAGCAGTTTGGCATGTGCACTGGATATAAAACCGCACCAACAGATCAGACCGCCATTAACAAGATTAACACTTTCAACACAACCGAATGGCTGTAAAAGCTGCTACTGGGTAACGAAAACAGGGTACCAAAATAGTCTTTTATTCCATCTTGCTATATTCGTCTAAAACGAAGGTTTGTGGAAAATTCCTGTAATTTCACGACTCTCGGTTATGCAGATCATTAATATTGTCAATAGGGCTGCCATGGTAACCTCAGAGATAAAATACTGCAGTAATAAAGAGCAAACTGCAAATTACAGTGGGCCAGCACACAAACGGGGCTATGATGCCGACTCACCACGACTTCAAGAACATTTCAGCTTACAGCCAAAAGAAGATCTAGATGAGGTAAAATGTAAGGCCAGAGTCTTTCTAGACCGATACATACTCCCCAACTGTCTGCAGTCACAGTGCTGCATACCCGCAGTGAAGTTCAGTAGACTAATGTGAAAATAATAATGTCAGAGAAACCGGAAACAGGAGCAAAAGTTTAAAACACAATTTTAAAAATATGTTAATATTTACTAAAAAGTAGTGGTTTCTGTAGTGGTAGTAGGTTTCTGCATATCGAGCTGTGGGGTGACTTTATGGAATAATTTAGATATGGAGACTAAACAAAGTGCAAACATCAATCTGTTCAAAAAGAGGTCCAAAAAACTGTTTATGAACAAGTACATGGAGGAGGAAGTGTGTCGTTGATGAGAGCAAAAAGGTAAATAAATAAATAAACCAAAAAAAGTATACAGAAATTGATTAGTATTTTGCTATATGGATATCAGATAGATATATATTTATTTATATGGGCAGCTATGGATTATGAAAATACATGTTATTATGTATGTGTGTGTGCATAGGTGCAGAATATATTTCTATAGATGTTTAAGTAGCATATATATATTATGTCTATATTGATATTTCTGTTAGATACATATGTGTTTATGTATATATAGATATATATCTATATATGTTTACATATCATATAGATTTTGTTGTGTCTGTGTAGATAAACATATTCATAAAGATTATGTTTTGTGGTATGCATGTGTATTATATGTTGCATTAAGAGCTGAATTTTTTTATAAAACCCACGAGGAATAGTAATAAGGGGTAGGAATTCAAAAAATATTTACTCCTTCCTACTCCTTTTCGAACGTGTAATTCCTTCTTTTTTTTTCTTTGTATGTAAATGAAAATGTTCTATTTTTTTTCTTTGCATACATGTTTGTTAGAATAATGTGCATAAATGTATATAGAAGTTATCATTATTCCTCATATTCTTATGTAAGAGTTGACTACAAGTATAAACTGTTTTGACCTCTTTTTATACATTATATAAGAGTGTTTCCTAACTTCTCTCTCCAATAGATTTACTACACAGCAGAACAATGTTCTTTCAGTTTTCTGTGACTGGGTCTTTCCTATCAGCAGGTGGGGGTGTGTGAGTGATGGATCCTCCGCTAATAAATCGTGGGGAGTTTTTGAGGAGGTGCCGCTGTTATCAGAAGGAGCTCATTAGATGCCGCCTTGACCTTCACATATTCACAAGTGTTCATTATTATGCTTTATGAGAATGTTTACTTTGCTGCACCATCTACCACCCCTTTTAGAAACATTGTGTAACCAGGGACAAGACTAAATAAAAGAGACTGGGCGGAAATACCTTTAGAGTGGTTTCGACATGGTACCTGAAGCTATCTCGGTCCATTCTCCTCGAGTATATACCATTGTCTTTCTCTTCTTTATATGTTATCAGGTAAATGTTGCAGGTTTTAGACCTAACATTTCTTTGGTCCTTCGAGCCGGATTCCAATAGACCAGACGATTCCAGCAGGTGAGGTGGACGACAGATAAGACCGTGGCCACGGCAGACTCTTTAGGATGAGTCTTGAAGACCTCTTTGAGGAACTGGACTCGACCTGCCTGCTGGGATCCGACGGTTGACGGAAATCCGAAGCCAAGGGGAAAGACAAGTGGTGAGTTGGTCTCTTATAAAAAGGAACGTGGAATGATTGAGATTCGCTTCGCGTAGAGAATCTATAAAAGACCAAACAAACAAAAGGACGCACAGGTCCTACGTATAAAAATCTGTGGAAAAGGACGCACAGGTCCTACGTATAAAAATCTGTGGAAAAGGACGCACGGGTCCTACGTATAAAAATCCGTTGAAAAGGACGCACGGGTCCTACGTATAAAAATCCGTGGAAAAGGACAAACGGGTCCTACAAATCCGTGAAAAAAGGACGGTAGAGTCCAAATTGGAAAATTTTAATTCAAGGACGCACGGGTCCTACAAAGCCGTTAAAAAATTCTGCAGAACAAAACACGTGTTAAAAGTGTGATTGTGAAAGTGTGAGAGTGATTGGAATAGGCATATATCACTAGATATATCCTATTCATACCAAAACAGTGGGATTGTAAGTAGTGACCTTATTGTGGAAGCAAAGGCAAGAATTCTCCACTCGCAAGAGTAGAAGTGAGAATTACCACATAAGGAATTTTTATCACTACCCCATTGAAAGAACCCAGCTTAATAGGACACCCTAGGTGTCACCTAAGCTGGACCAAAACACATAAAAATGGGGACGGAAACCAGTAAGGCTAATTTGGAAGAATTAAGATGTCAAGATTGGAGAATCTTTGAAAAAGAGCCAGAAAAATTACAATTCCTCGAATTATGGGTAACTAAATTTGGATTCGATGGCAGCCTAAGAACAAGCCAATTAAATAAACTACACGACTCCATAAGCATAAAATATGGGTGTCAAATGATTGATGAATGGAAAAAAGTAGCAAAAGCCAGAGAGGATGGAGAAAGGAGGAGAAAAAAGGGAAGAACAAATGGAGCTAGTGCATTTTTTGCAGAAGGTGACAATGAAAATGAAGCCTTCTATCAAAATGCAAGAGGCAGAAGCAGAAGAGGATTCAGAGGTAGAGGACAAGATAGGCCCAGATCAGGAGGAGCAAATCAAAGAGGGACATGTTGCTGGGCGTGTGGAAAGGAGGGACATATAGCCCGCAATTGCAATAACAAATCAAAGGGAGGAAGGCGTGAGCAGTCAGTACGAGATCAAAAGCTATAAGTAAAGACAACTTTAATAATAATAATAATTATAATAATAATACTGATAATGATGCAGAAATGAAAGGTAGAAAAGGCAGAAAGGTTTAATGCAGACTGCAAATTTTTAACAAGTTAAATTCTCTGTACAGTCTCTGTTCTCTGCACAAATGCTAGAATGATACATCAGAGGCCAGTTACGACCTTGACTCCTCCAGAGACACAGCAGCCAAAGAATCCCTCCCTATGCAGAAGCATGTAGCTATTAAAAGACAAAACTGTGACTAAACTGTTACAGTCTATGAAGTATAAGTTGTACATGTAGACGTGTCACTGGAGAAGAAGAGGTTTTCTGACCTCAGCTGGCATCCCTGTTAAACATTTGAACCAACTGATTGATATTATACCTTATTGGAACTTAAAGAAGTAACCATAGTAAAGTGCAGAGAACACCAAAGCTAACTTGGAATTAAAAACCCTCTCTATAATGCTATTTAACTTAAGATTAACTCCAAATGTGACAATGAATTTCATACTATATGAGATAAATAGGACGACTATGGAATAATAAGAGAGATGATAAACCGTTTGATGACTATGACAAAGAGAACAAGAAAGAAGCAGGTTAAGAGGCAGAAATTTCAATAGAGAAGGCGATAGAGGAAATAGAAGTTTTGACAAGAGTTATGAATCACAAGAGCAAAGAGATTAAGAACAGTACCCTGACCAAGGTCATGAACCACAACATCAGAGAATTGTAGAGCTTTTTTGTCACTAGGTGAAGAGCTGTAGAAAAACGTATCAAGCAGGACTAGAAGAGGGAGAGACAGCAAATGTTATTTGACAGAAATAAAGAGAAAGTGTGAACAGAGACGAGACAGAGGAGGAAGAAGTGCTAAACTTGGAGAAGATAAATAAATATATAAAGATATTTTGATAGATAGATTGATAGATATACTTTATTGATCCCAAATTGGGAAATTCTCTTGTTATAGCAGCAAAAAGAAAATATAAAATTAAATATAATAAGTAGTACAATGCAGACTAAAAATAATAAAAATACTAAGTATATACAATAAATATAGGCTAAATATACTAAACATCCTAAGAGATAAAAGTGAGATATGAAGAACGTGGGCTATTGAAATTAGTAAAAAAATATGAAATGAGTAATAAATATGAAATGAGAAATATTACAGATGGGATGATAGATATACAATTTAAGGTGCTCTGTAATATGATGTGATAGGAGTTTTTAAGAATGGACTATACAGCAGACAGGCGTGAGTCCCTGTCTGACATATGTGAGTTATTTAACAGTGCAATAACTTGTGGCAGGACAGATTTCCTGTATCAGCGGAGCTGCAACAGTCATTTGGAGAAGGAATACATTGTGCAGACATAACACCGCAGATATAGTTAATGATTCAGGGTTTACCCTTAACCTTTTTGTGTGACTCCGGTGCAAAGAAAACAGTTCTTAGACATAAACTATCACAGATTAGGTTTTCCAAACAAAAGATTTTTGTCAAATCAACACACAGAGAGAGCTTGAGAGGTAGTAATAGCGAGTCATGGGCCTTGCCATGTCTCGACAGGAGGGAGGAGTGTAGTAGTTAACCCTATTGATTCATAAATTATTTAAAAAAAATAATAATAATAATAATAAATAAAAAATAAATAATTTACTATTTGATTTGTTCAGTTTGTTTAAGACATAATGCTCAAGACAGTATAAAACCAAAAAGAGGCAAATTTCCACCAACCAATGCATTATTTGAAGCCATGCACATGGACTTCATAGAATTAAATCAGTGTGAGAGAAAGAAATATTGTTCAGTGTTAATAGATCCTTTCACTAAATGGATAGAATTATTTCCTGTTACCCATCCAGATGCATTAACAGTAGCAAAAATCCTGCGTAGAGAAATAATTTCTTGATTTGGCATTCCAAAACGAATCTACAGTGACAATGGAACTCATTTTGTCAATGAAATAAATAAATAAATAAATAAATAATAATAACTAGAAAATGCAAGTTCTGAAGAAATTGCGAGATGGATTGCTCCAGCTAAAATTGTAATTGCTAAGCTGCTATTGTAAATGGTTTAAGTTCAAAAATTATGTGAAAGATATGAGATTTGAAGATTCAGAAAGGGTTGAATCAGTTTAAATGAGTTGAAATTAGTTTGAAAAAATTGAATACTGAATGAAGAATGAAATGATCTAAAACTGAAAAAATTAAAATGATCATAATCTGAATGTATAGAGGAGTTGAAGGCTTTTAAAGTTGTGTAAAGAAAATGTGAGAAAAGGGCCAATTTGAAAATTCTGTAATGCATTTCTAACGAGAAAAATTGGTTGTAAAATCTGGAGTATCTCAGAAAGTATGAATGTTAGGAAAATTTTGAATATAAGCTGGAATCTCCTGAAGTTTGAATGGTTTTTAATACAGTGAAGTAAGTGGAAGGAATTAAAAAAATAAAGGTACTGCTAATGACAGCCACAGCAGTAAAAATAGCACAAAGAAGTAGTTGGATACATCTTTCCCATTGCAAAAAAAACCTATATGGGTTTTAGTTAGGAAAGTCTGACTTCAAAGGGGGGCGTCCTTATAGTGGGCGTTCGTCTCAATGTCAGTGAAGATTAGATGGTGTTGAATTCCTTAGGAGCTTAGGAAAATGGGAAAGTTAAGTATCTTACTTCTGCTAAACCTGAAACTGTTAATTTACCTACTGAAACATTATTTACAACTTCAGATGAACTTAAGGAAGGAAAGAGAAGTGACAACAACGATAGTCCTCACATCCTGTGTGACTACCAATCAAAAATCACATTCAGCTGTTCTGAAGGCGACCATGTGCAGAGAGCAAACCTGAGAGACAGTGAGCAGGGGTATGAATCACCCAGACGGACACCACAGTTGCTTCATGTAGTGAAGACACTGAGAACTTTACCATAGCTTAACTGCTACTAGGCGTTTCTGTTATTTTGTTTACAATGGGATTTTGTGCATGCTTGTTTTGTCAATAAACACTTATACTTATGTTTATTAAAGGTACATCACAAAATAAAAAAAAATTAGTTAACAAAAATGATGGAAGAATAATATTAATAAAGATATGAATAACATATAGTGGAATGCTTCGCAATCCCTCTCAATAAATAATAATTTAAAAAAAAAAAAACTAATTTGAAGTGAACATGTGGTACAGATATGCAAAAATATCTAGTAAAAATGAAGAATCAGTCTAACTTCTATGTCTGTACTAGGAATTCCCTAACTATAATAAAAGTGTATGTGTTTTCTGTAGCTGTACCTGAATGACAGCAGACTGATAATAGGGCCTTAGTGACTTTAATCCTAACTGTTGTAACTTTCCAGACCAGTGTGGCAAATTTAACCTCTGCAGTTAGTCTTATTCCTTTGTTGAGCCACTCCAGAGTAAAAGAAATTAGCAAACAGAGTCAGACCCGATTTATATAGATAGTTCCTTGTGAGGTACCAGATGAGTATAAACTAGTAAATCAAATTGCTGCAGGCTTTGAGTCTCTCGTCTGTCCTTGGTGTACAATGAACAAAAATATAGATCGAATCAGAATCAACTACATCCATTTCAACGTTCAAAAGCTAGGTAATTGGACTGAGGCTGGTTTTCAGGCCGTTCACTCGCAGTTATCTGCAACATCCCTGATGGCTTTCCAAAACCGTATAGCCCTTGACATGCTGCTGGCAGAAACAGGAGGTGTATGTGCCATGTTTGGAGAAACGTGTCGCACGTTCATTCCTGATGACACTGCTGCTGATAGCAGCCTCACTCGAGCCATAGAGGGCCTAAAAATGCTTAACAGCAAAATGAAAGACCACTCAGGAATAGATAACTTCTTTTGGGATGATTGGATGAATGTATTTGGAAAATACAAAAATCTTGTAGATTCAGTCCTAATCTCTGTTGCTGTTTTTGCAGCTAATTTGACCTTGTGTGGATGTTGTTGTATTTCTGTATTTGTTCTCTTCTTAACCGTCTTATCACCACAGTGTTGTCTCCTGTGGAGCAGCAGATGCAGGAATTGTACCCGCTGCTCCATCAGCAGGACGAGGAGGACAGATTTGATGACACTCAATGGCCTGACCTGTGCCCTAATCCAGATGATGAGTATAATTCTGACTAAAGCAACGTCTTGTACCTCCGTGTGTAAATTCTTTGTAGTTATAAACATGAACTCGCAGCTGAAAATCGAGAGAAGTGGCTGAACTAGAGGGATTATGAGAATTTGAGCAAAGTAATGATAAACAGGAGGGAAATGTTAGAATAATGTGCATAAATGTATATAGAAGTTATCATTATTCCTCATATTCTTATGTAAGAGTTGACTACAAGTATAAACTGTTTTGACCTCTTTTTATACATTATATAAGAGTGTTTCCTAACTTCTCTCTCCAATAGATTTACTACACAGCAGAACAATGTTCTTTCAGTTTTCTGTGACTGGGTCTTTCCTATCAGCAGGTGGGGGTGTGTGAGTGATGGATCCTCCGCTAATAAATCGTGGGGAGTTTTTGAGGAGGTGCCGCTGTTATCAGAAGGAGCTCATTAGATGCCGCCTTGACCTTCACATATTCACAAGTGTTCATTATTATGCTTTATGAGAATGTTTACTTTGCTGCACCATCTACCACCCCTTTTAGAAACATTGTGTAACCAGGGACAAGACTAAATAAAAGAGACTGGGCGGAAATACCTTTAGAGTGGTTTCGACATGGTACCTGAAGCTATCTCGGTCCATTCTCCTCGAGTATATACCATTGTCTTTCTCTTCTTTATATGTTATCAGGTAAATGTTGCAGGTTTTAGACCTAACAATGTTTGAAATAAATAAATTCATTAATTCAGTGCCACCATTTAACTTTTTATAAACTAAC